TCATTACCAAATTCATTAACTTAATTCAATTTCAAGGATAACATGCGGAAATAAACTTATACATTCAATCCGTAGAAGTGATTAACAATACTCTCATTCGTATGCAAAGTAAATATTACAAGAAAATACTTAATAAATTGCCCTTGGGCTTACATCACTTAAGGTACAAGAAGAAGGGTATAACCCTTTTACAACAATGGCATTCCGCCAACATAACTGAGGCCCCGTGGCCAGTAAATAAGTAGAACCAAATCTTGCAGCTCAACCTGCTTAACACCTGAAAAAGATTCAACAACGTGGGATGAACATAAAGTCCAGTAGGGATCTCAACATGATCCTCAACAATAACAACTTACAGATAGCTATGATCATGCACACTCATTCTGATACTAGAATCGTAATGTGACAGTTTATACAAAATATACATGTATGAACTTTTCTCGAAAACAACCGTTTCAATCAACGCTACAAGTGGTTTGCCTTTTCTTTTCCTTTCATTAACCCCCATTCCCGATCTTTCTTAACATTAACAAACACTTAGGAAGTAATCTCACTAAGCCCGATACTCTCTTCCATTTCCTATACATACTCAGATGTACCCTTTCAAACTTGTTTATCTTTAAGACATTCGTTCCCCTTCATACTTTCCAAAAGACAAAAATGACATTTTGGTTCGTTTCCACTACTATCATAACTATACATGCATAACTTTGTAAAAATATAAATTTACAACCTACCATGTATACAATCAACCAATGGAGTAACTCGGTCCTCCGAACTATAACCAATCAAATCCAAGACATTTTCAGTTACAACGAAACAACAACAATCCCATTTCACTCTACTAGCTATGTGCGTAGTAAGCCAACAATACACCCCACTCAACAACATAACAACAAGCCAGTTTACCAGGTGCTAGCTGGAGGGGTATGGTACCTTCGATTATTAGCACAACAGGCCAGTTCTCCAGGCGCTCGCTGGAAGGGTATGGTACCTTCGATTATTAGCGCGGTCAGTTCTCCAGGCGCTCGCTGGAAGGGTATGATACCTTTGATTCTAAGCGCGGGGCATAACACCAACAATCGCATGCAACAAGGCACAACTAACATGTATAACACATATACACAAACCATCCAGATACAACAATGTGTTAAAGGATATGAACACATAACTACCTCTTCCCGAACAAGCATACATATACGATGCATCTCAACAGTTCATCACATACGATGTTTAATTAACCAATAGTAAAATGCAAACCCGACAATTCTACACAACCGTGTCATCCTCCACCGATGACCAAGGACAAAACCTTTAGATGCATATAGTTAGTACATCTATTAAAAGACTCAAATATCATGAATCACAAACCCACAACAATATTAACATGGTAATTCAAGATGCAATTCCACACATGTGTGTGTTCAACACTCATGAAACAATAATTCAATTTTCATACGTATATCAAAATACCTTTTTGTTTTCACAAAATCAACTCCTTCCCTTTTGTTGTTACAAAACCAAATTCATACTTTTGTTTTACCAAACCACTTCCAAGCCGAAGTTAATCCCTTAGGCATTAACACCTTCACCCAACCTACCTCAACACTAGCGATTTACAATATAGATTCACAACCCTCCATTTTAATTAACCAATCAATGTATGATTTAGGGCTTTTTCCTCTATCAATTACAATATGCTAAATCACACCCCAATTAGCCCAAAACAATCATCTATTACAACAAAACCATTTTTCAACACCCAACCCCAAGTTCCTCTCATGATTTCGAACAAATCCAACATGGATATGATTTTTATGCAATACAAAATTACCACATGTCTATCTATAGGCGAAGTATTGAAAAAGAACAAGGAGAATCCCTACCTCAAATGGAGAACTCGATTGGAGAAGATGACCCGAAATCAAAATGCTCCAAATCCCAAATTTCTTGGATCACAACGAAGCCCTCGACGATCAACACACTTCTTACAAAGGCCCAAGGTGAGGAAAACCCTCAAGGAAGATCAATCCTAAGAGAGAAGTTCGGTTTTAGAGTGAGGTGCTCTCCAATGGAAGTTTTGAAAAAGTAAGAGAGAGAAAGGAAATCAAAAAGTGATCAAAAAGGTGATTTCACGGATTGATATAAAAACAGGTCCGCTCGAGCGTACAACACCCCGCTCGAGCGTACAGACACAGGTTCATGCTCGAGCGTCCAAAGATCCGCTCGAGCGCCGGATGCACTCTCCCAGAATTTTCTGCAGACGACCAAAATGCTGAGAGAAGGAAATTCACGCTCGAGCGTCCCAACTGCCGCTCGAGCGGAAAGACAACAACAGAAAACCCGCTCGAGCGTCAAATCGCCGCTCGAGCGTAGAGACCAAAACCTGGGCAAAATTTCAAAGCTTTAAAACACAACCAACAAATTCCCAACTTGCCCAACACAACCCAGAACTCTAAAACAAAGAGTAAGGGATAGAAATGAGGATAAGACAACAACGAATCTACGGAACTGAGTCCAGATTACAGTTAAACAACGACAGGGAATACCGGGATCGCTATATAAATTTTGTTTGGAAATAGTTCAAAGGGAAAGAAAAACCACGAGTGAATGGATATATTATTTTACTTGTTTGGACCTTGTTGGTTACAATATCTATCTCGAAACTCTACCTCTTTTACATTAATATGTCATACATACACAAACCTTTGGCCCTATTTATGATTTGAAAGGTTTTGTTATTATCATTTTGTACATACACACATATGCGTTATAGAATTGTTGAAAAATGAATATTACGCATTTTGTTGTACTGTTCTGCTATCTCAGTCCTCTTCATCCCTCAAGCATCTCTCTCATTCCTTATTGTCACTGTAGATATCTCCGATGTCCCTTATTAGAAATGACACCACCTTTGATGTCCTTTTCACAGGTGGTAAGCTCGTTGGGTCTCTCTTTCTCATATTCCCTTTCCACTCGCTCTATCGGTTAATCTTCTCTAACTCTCGTTTTCTGTTCTATGGCTTTAAGTCGTTGATTAAATTATTTAATGATTATCATTACATTTTGTTTTCTCTACATCATGAGAGATCCTGATTGGTGATTCTAAGATTTTTAGTGATTTATTAGTCATTTTGTAATAATTGTTACGAAACTTTGTTGCTTGATTATGATATTTGTGGTTTATACAAAATTTGGATTTTTTGTTTCGTCAATTAGTTGTGTTGTTATGCATTTTATGATTGATATTATAAAATTTTATGAATTGATTATGATATTTGTGATTTGTAAAAATTTTGATTATTTTTATTATGCCAATTAGTGGTGCAGTTACACATTTTTTAGGTGATGTCACAAAATTTTGTGAGTTGGTTATGACATATGTCATTTTTTAAAAATTTAGATGTTTTTGTTACGCCAATTAGTAGATAGTTACGCAATTTTTGGTTGATGTTTTTGTACTTGGTTATGAAATTTGTGGTTTTATATAATTTTGAACAATTTTGTTGCGCCAATAACTGATGGCGTTATGTATTTTGTGTTTTATATTACAAAACTTTGTGACTTGATTACGATATTTGTGATTTATAAAATTTTAAATATTTTTGCTATGCTAATTAGTGGTATGGTTATACATTTTGTAGTTGATAAGTATTTTTTTTTGTTGATTTTACTTAATAAAAATAAATGAATGATTTATATTAAAAATAAATACAAAAATTTGAATATAAAATAATTTATTTTATTATAAGACTCTATTCATGAATATTTTTTTTATAATTGTTATTGCTGAATATTTTTTTTATAATTGTTATTACCATTATTCAACCAAATAATTTTCTCCAAAAATTTGGAACAAATATCTAAATTTTGTCAAAATCAAAATTCCCTCGTAATTTTTTTTGACAAATCCCTGGACCCTTTCTTCGGTCCAAACGTTTTCAGAAATTACTCTCTCTCTCTTTCTTGTTTGTCGTCCCTGCCCATTGCCACTGCCAAGACTTGTTTTGCTTTTGCCGTCGCATCCTCCACAACGGAGAAAAACTCCGAAAGCGGTTGACGAAGATCTATACAAGAACTCGCCGGAGGTTCTCCGCGCCCAGCACTGAAGAGTGAGTTTGTTCCTCTGTCCTTTTCTTTTCCTCCTCGTTCTAGAAGCTAGAGCTACATGTCTGTTGCTTGTATCACAGTCATGACAGCGTAATTGCAAAATCAACAAAAAAGAAAGGGAAAAAATTAGAGTAATAATCTGTTTGGATGTAGTGATTGGTGAAAAAAATTAAAAGAAAAAGACAAGTTTTTATCATTTTTGTTTATAAATTAAGTGATTAATGGTAACAAATAATGTGAAAGAGTATAAAAAGAAATAATATCTATACTATTATATATGTGAGCATATAACTTGTGTCTAGTGTGGTGGCTTCTGTCACGTGGCAAATTTTCTTATCCTAAAATAAAAAAATATTATTCAAAGCGTGATTAAGAACACTCTTACCATTTAGACACACACATATTATGATATTAGTTTCTTTATTATTTATTTTTATGCTTACTTATCTAAATTACACACGCATTGCGTGTACCACCCACTAGTATCCTTAAAATACAAGAGAATTGAGTATAAAAATTGAGTTTAGCCATACTATCATATGATTTTTTTTAGGTTAGGTTTCTCTCAAGTTTAAATCTGAAGTTCAGAGTCCATGGGATCCACCACAATACCCGATAATCCAAACAATTCATTTTGTAGGCAGGGCCGTCCCTGAGATTTAGGGGGCCCAAGGCGACCTTCGGAAATTGGGCCTTTCATACATTAAAAAAAAAAAGTTGATGGATAAATGGATAAAAATTTATTTTCACATATAATCATTAAAATTATAAATAAAAATTTACTTTCATATATTAAGATAGGAAGCAATCATTACAAATACTCAAAAAACTAAAAATCTGGTTTTGTTGCTTTATTGTTTAGCAATATCCAGTTTACAATTGAACAACTATCACATAAACATTACTCTTCTCACATTTTTAGCTGCAAAATCACTAATGAAGCTTGCATAATCGAATTTATCCACCATATCCTTTTCAATGGATAACAAAGCTAACCCATTCAATCTTTCTTGTGACATAGTTGGCCGAAGGTAAGATTTGATTAACTTCAACTTTGAAAAACTTCTTTCTCCAGAGGCCACTATAATAGGTATAGTTAACAAAATTCTATACACAATCGATGCATTTGGGAAACAACCATCCATTGTTTTCAAATAATTTAATACTTCAATTGGCATTTTGATTCCTTCCGGTAAAACTTCTTTCAAGACATTCAACTCTGAAAATAGATCTCTCCCATCAATATCAGAAAGTTCATCATGTTTCAGAAAATCTTCAAGATTAACACAATAAGTCTTCAAACATTCCTTGTTGGTAGAACTCAACTTTTTCAAATCAAACAAAAATCCAAAATTTTCCTCATATACTTGAAATTGTTCAAACCTACTCTTAAGTGAAGAAAGAGCTTGATCAATTATATACATAAAGTAATTAATTCTAAAAGATTCTTCAGCAATCTGTGTCACCTCTTCACTAACATTCTCATCAAATTGCTTCTTTCTACGAATGACACGCTTTTCACGAAATACTGGATCAAGTTCCATTAGAGTAGCAACTTCTTTTGCCTCAATCATGGCATCCAAAAATTCAGTTTCTCTATACTTTTCAAGAAAGGTAATGAGTCCTTTTAACTGAATTATAGCAACATCAATATGCATGTCTTCCCTTTGAAATATTTTGCTAACTAAGTTAACTGCAAACAATAAATTGTGCCAAATAATCATGCCAAGCAAAAATTCAAAGTTCTCAATTTCGTATGTTGCTAAAGACTCATCTTCACTCTTTGTATTGTGGGGTTCACCAAGATTTGCCAAACGATTTAAAGCATCTCTTATTTGTGGAGCTTGATATCTTATTGCTTTAACACTTTCAACGCGACTTTCCCACCTTGTTTGTGACAATGGCTTCAATGTGAGACCTTCCGCATGATCTTTGAAAACTTTCCACCGCTTTGTAGAAGATGAAAACAATAAATATATACATTGTAACACTAAAAAAAAAGAGATAGCTTTGGGACAAGAGTTAGCCATATCACAAAGTGCAAGGTTAAGACTATGACAACCACATGGTGTTTAGAATGCTCTAGGATTTATTTCAAGTAGCCTTTTCTGTACACCTTTGTGTTTCCCTTTCATGTTAGAGCCATTATCATATCCTTGCCCTCTTATATCATCAATATCAAGTTGGAGTGTGCACAATACCTCTTTAATTACATTAAAAAGACCCAACCCCGATGTGTCATCCACTTTTAAAAATTCTAAAAAGAACTCTTCCACCTTTACTTGATTAGTTGAAACATCCACACATCTTATTACAAGAGACATTTGTTCTTCATGACTAACATCTGGAGTACAATCAAGAATAACTGAAAAATATTTCACTTCTTTGATTCTTTTCACAATTGTACTTTTGATCTCACCCGCCAACATCTATATCAATTCATTTTGGATTTTGTGACCAAGATAATGATAATGAATTTCATTCCTTTCAATGCGATGAAGGTGGTCTTGCATTACCGAATCAAATTGAGCAACCATTTCAATTAAACTCAAAAAGTTCTCATTTCTTTCTTGATAAATCTTCTCATTTTCTCCACAAAACGCTAAATTATTTTTAGCAAGAGTTCTCACAATAGCAATTATCCTTAGTAACACATTTTTCCAATGTTCTCTCTCCCTATTGATTTGTTCTTGAACACCGTTATCAATTGTTTCATTCTTTTGCAATCTTTTTTCCAATTCAATCCATTTGCTCATACAAGTAATGTGCTCATTGCTAGTTTCATGACTTCTAAGCCTGTGACCTAGATTCTTCCAATCTTTAAATCCATTAGTAGCCAACTGAGTCTTGTTCCCATCTTCCTTAAACAACTTACAACAAAAGCAAAATACTTTGTTTGAAGCATCTGAATATACTAGCCATTTCCTATCTTGCTTCTCTCCATTTGATAAATCTCGAATGTAATATGTAGAGGAGAAGTGTCTATCGTTGTCATCTCTAGGAAAATTGACACGTCACACACAGACTCCCGCTCGAGCGTCCAAACTTCCGCTCGAGCGCCGGATGCACTCTCCCAGCATCTATACAGAACCAGGCCTCTGCTCGAGCTTCCAACTCTACGCTCGAGCGGCACTCAGACAACCCTGCTCGAGCGGCCAATACCACGCTCGAGCGTACAACGCTGCACAGGAAAATACTGAATGGGTGTAATCTCCGCTCGAGCGCCAAAACCCTCGCTCGAGCGTACAGGCCAAAACCTGGGCAACTAGTTTTGGTTTCTAAACACAACCAACCTGTAACAAACCTGCCCAACACATCCTATAACTCAACCAATTCAATCCATTTGCTCATACAAGTAATGTGCTCATTGCTAGTTTCATGACTTCTAAGCCTGTGACCTAGATTCTTCCAATCTTTAAATCCATTAGTAACCAACTGAGTCTTGTTCCCATCTTCCTTAAACAACTCACAACAAAAGCAAAATACTTTGTTTGAAGCATCTGAATATACTAGCCATTTCCTATCTTGCTTCTCTTCATTTGATAAATTTCGAATGTAATATGTAGAGGAGAAATGTCTATCCATGTCATCTCTAGGAAAATTGACAACATTACTTCTTATAGGACCTCTTTCAACTAATAAATCTCTGAAATTCTGATCAATCTTGTCCTAATTACTTGGGTCATTAATATTTAAATGTCCATATTCAACATTAAAATCTTCACTTTCAGTGGCTTTCTCATTCACCAAATCTTCATTGTCATTCTCATTCAAGCATTCAATAGGCTCTTCAACACCCAAATCTTCATTATCATTCTCATTACATTGATTAAGTTCTTCAATTACCAAATCTTCATCAATCAAACATGAACTTTCTATTTGTTTCTTGCTACCAAAAAATTTATCAAGCGCTCTCGATTGAGATTGAATAAAATTTTCTAATTTTTGCTTCTTTTTCCTTTTTTCACATCCAAAAATATACTTCCTAGGAGGCATGACTACTCTATATAATCACAAATCCACACAAATTCACAATCACTGATCTCTGTAAATAATATACTTTCAGAATTAGAGCATAACAAAAATTATAGACTTTCACTAAAGAACATAAATTAGGTAATTTTCTAATTTAAAGAACAAATTATATAGGGCAAGAAATTAGGAGGAAAATTAGGGCAACAAATTAGGAAAAAAATTAGGGCAAAAACTTCCTCCATTTAAATGTGATTGATATATATATATATATATATAGAGAGAGAGAGAGAGAGAGAGAGAGTGACGGTTTTGATGCCCAAAATCGTTAATGTTCAGCGTCCGTCAAATATGGAGGAGAGAAGAGGACTGGAGACTCACGGTTTCATCTTCATTAGTCCAATGCAAGAGAGAGAGAGCAATTCAATGCAAGACTCACGGTTTCGTCAAATATGGAGGAGACAGAGATGTGTTTCTTTGAGTGACCCATGTGAATTCATTCTTCTCAGGTGGGTTTATGATGTATTTCACATTTTTGGGCCCATGTTCATTGGGCCTCTATTATGATATGTTTTTTTTTTTTGGCCCTATATTCAATTGGGCTTATAATATTTGGATTTTTTTTTTAATATCTGAAACACAAAATCATATTTTGGGGCCCTATTTTCAGCCCAAATCTGGGGGCCCAAGGCGCAGGCCTCTTTGGCTTGTCCTCAGGGCTGGGCCTGTTTGTAGGCCATCCATATATATCATTCATAAAATAATTAGTTTTATCCCATAATTATAATTTTCATGTAATTAGCTATGAATACAAGTCAAGTAAGTAACTTGACTTAAAATTATAGTGGAGCTCTAATATGCTTGAAATTAATTTTTTAAGTGAAGGAGCCTGGATAAGCTTATTCATAAAAACATTAGTTTGATCCCATAATATAATCATAATTTTCATGTAATTAAGTATGAATATAAGCCAAGTAAGTAACTTGACTTAAATTTATAGCGTACCTCTAATATGCTTGAAATTAATTTTTTAAGTAATGGAGCCTAGATAAGCTTATTATTTATTTATTTTGCAATATTAACATGTTCTTATAAATTATTATTAAAGAGTCAAATGATTCAGTTGATCAAAATGGTCCATTTGAAATTGAAAATTTCTTATTAATCTTATGATATCTAGTTATAAGTCTAAGACAAACTAAATATTGTTAGATAAATTAATTCAAGAAAATGTGATTTTTTTTACTATAACAAGCAAATATGCTTCTAAAAAAAAAAAACAAAAAAAAAAAGAGGCAAATATGCATATAGATAATATTCTATCAAATAGGCGCAAAGTTATTATCCAAGTAAGATTAATTTGTCACTTTTATGTTTCATGTTAAGACAAAATAATTGGAATTATTATAATATTAGAAATTTATTATCATGGACTTAAATTTTTGTTTGGATCTTGGATTTACATAATAAAAGAATCATGAAAAACAAGAAGACCGTAGGAAAATAAAATGAAGTGAAAGAAAAGAAAAGATAATTGTTAAAAAAAAAGTAAAATATTTTTTGTTTAGTTAATTTCATTTTATTTCTCCTAAATTCATTATTCAAACAAAACATAAATGTCATACAAAAGAATGTCCTGGTTAAAATCTTATGTAATTATTTCAAATATATGTCAAAAATATGTATAACTTAAAATAGTTGAACTTGGGGCAAAAGAAATTGGCTCCAATATTGTACTATTCAGTTATGTCAAACTAAAGTTAACCATATCAGGATAAAAAATCTCCTACTTTAAAATTACAAAAATCTCCATTAACTTTAAAATTAACAATTTGAGGATATTATTCATAGAGATTTAGTTTAGTTAACAGGAGTATAGATTGGAGAATATATGTAGGAGCTCTAGCAAATTGCATTGTTGGGTTGAAGTTTGTAAGGATGACTGGAGAAAGGCACTAGAAAAAGGGTGGCTAACTAAAGATACTAAAAAAGGCAATTGGCAGCAGTGAGAAGGGAGTGCGAAATGATTTATAGTTAGGGCTTGATGTAGGATAAGATGAATTTGATTTGAGAGAGTGACTTAAGAAAATGTATCAGTATTACTTCCTCTCAATTTTATTTCATTTTGTTCTCTAATTTGAGTTTCAATATGTAATTATAAATTAAAAGCTTCAGATTGTCATGTGACAAGAAATTGACGTGAAACAATATATTTATTTTTAACAAGTGAAATTTTTCATTGCTTTAATATCTATTAATCAGGTTTTAACATAATTATTGTTAGATAATACTTAAAATATAATAGGGTAAATTATGACGGTAGTCCATGTACTTTGATCTGTGTGTCATTTTAGTTCTTGTAATTTCAATTAATTCGATTTTGACCTTGAATTTATAATTTTATCTCAATTTGGTCCAGTTAGTTACAACTCTTAGCATTTTTTTTAATGAAAAATATGCACATAACTATCATGTACCCTCAACTAATTTAGTGATAATTTTTCTTAAAATACACTAGCGATATTATCAATTGGACTAAATTGATGCAAAATTTAAAATTAAGGGTTAAAATCAAGTCAATTGAAAGTGTAGGGACCAAAATTACACAATGGGTAAAATATAGAGACCACCGGTGTAATTTTCCCAATATAATATTAATAACGACATAATTAAAACATCACTTGGGTGTAGTTCAATAACAACTTAATTTACATAATTTTAACTCGTTTACCTTTAAATCTTAAAATTGTTACTATTTAATTTAAAAAATAATTTTTTAATTATTTGTTTTAAGGCCGTGCATAGCACGGGTGTAACGCTAGTGTGTATATATACATATATCAGAATCTCTAAGGGAGTTTTTAAACAAGATTTGTTAGCTATTATAATTAGTATTATCATATTTTAGTGACTTTAATGGGTTAGCTATTATAGTAGCTATTTTAACAAAATTCTTCAAGGCTTACTACATTTGAAGAGTCTTGAAAGACTCTTTAAACAGTTTGTGTGTAAAAAGGTAAAATAAAGAGTGGTTAGAGCATCTACACCAAACTCTTCAAATTTTTAGTCAAATTAAAGTTTTTTTCATTATTTTAGCTATTCACTTTTTAGCACCTACTACATCAAACTCTTTATTCTAACTTATTCTTATTAAATATTATTTTCTTATTGTGTTTGTTGGTATTTTTTTTTTTTTTGTATATTAAATTGATAAGTTACTAGCCAAATAATTCTTAAAAAAAAAATTGCCGTTCAATGGTTGATTGGCCGAACTTCCGGGCAGACGTCCAACAACACACAAGTAGCGATGAACAATGCCTCGCTTGTTGTAACGAGTTATTGTAGCCATCATAAATTTTGACGAGCTGGAAGCAAGTTTGATGGAGTTGATTTTTTGAAATTTTTAGCTAACAAATGATTTTGAAGAGCTTGATGAGGATGCTCTAGAGAACATTAATAAAACATAACATAAATAAAATAAAGATTTATCTTTTTTATATTTTAACTAGTAACAAATGAAAAGTATGGGGTATTGGTTTGGGGAGGGTTAGACAATATGCAATAAAAATTAATAGATGAAATAATTACACATCAAGGGTAGGTACCGTTAGAAGAAGCAAACAGCTGCACACATCAGACTGCTCTTTGACCTTGGCAATATCAATGCGGTCGACGAGAAGCTTTGCCTAATTGAATTGACTGATGGACTCAACATTCTTAACCATCTCAATGAATTATTGGTGTACGCCCATCATCATCATCATCATCATCATCATCATCATCATCATCATCATCATCATCATCATCATCATCATCATCATCATCATCATCATCATCATCATCATCATCATCATCATCATCATCATCATCATCATCATCATCATCATCATCATCATCATCATCATCATCATCATCATCATCATCATCATCATCATCATCATCATCATCATCATCATCATCATCATCATCATCATCATCATCATCATCATCATCATCATCATCATCATCATCATCATCATCATCATCATCATCATCATCATCATCATCATCATCATCATCATCATCATCATCATCATCATCATCATCATCATCATCATCATCATCATCATCATCATCATCATCATCATTTCTCCCTCTCAAGCTTTAGAGATCAAAAGCTAGAGTTTCACTTGGTGTGGTGGAAATCAAAGCTCTCCCATCCTTGATTCTAGGGTTTCTACTCCATTTCTTCATCAAATTTTGAGGTAGGGATTTCTTGAGTTATATATACAAGTTTTGCTATTTTGATGATGATTCAAGAGTTTTCTTCTAGTTCTTATGTTGATTTCAACATTGTGATTCAAAAGTGTAGAGAGTTTTAAACGTGGGTTTGTATCTTAATCCTTTTACTAATTTTAGAGGGTTTCCTTCTATTACACTTAAGAAAAAATGTTTCACTAAGGAAATGAGAAAATGTTTGGTTTTGATGAAAAACCCTAGAAATTGGGGATTTTTCAAAAAAAATATGGAAATGTCCATGGAATTCTTTCTTTTCTTTTGATAAAAAGATGAATGAGTATAGATTCCATAATATGGGTTGCAAAAATGGCAATCTTATTGACATATTGAAATGAAAATTTGTTTTAAAAACTACTGTTAGATAAATGATGATATATGGTTGTGAGATGACAATTATTGTGCACTATGGATTTTGAGAATTTTAACATGAGAAGTTAATGTTTGACAACACTATATGCAGTCTTGAAGAGACTAGATTGTTAAGACTTGTGAAATGAGAAATTGTAGCTATGTGTCGATGACATACAATTATCTTGCAAAAGAACATTTAAGAGAGGAAATGAGAAATGTGAATGTTGACATTATTGTAGAGATATTTGACAATGGAGAGATGTTATGAGGTATGGAAAATCATTGTAATTGCATACTCATTCAATTTTTTTTTTATTATGCATTGTGAGTTTAGATTGAAAATATTTATTTTCATGAAAGAAAGAGTATTGCAATAAGAACTATGGAAATGTGTT